AACATGTATCACTATCAGATATGAGCCCACACTTAATAAATTAAAAAAATGTTGAATACGTAACTCACGTGGTGCAATTTGATAGGCAATTTCATTCCTTATGAGTTCCTCACGTGGAGAATCAGACCAAAACAATGTGTGTGATCTTATTCTCAAAAGTGACTTGCCACAGCTGATACATACATGTCCATGACTATTAATTGGTGAATTTTCCTGTTCGCTAGTTGGATGTCGTATTTGTCGTATTTGAAGGCTAGTTCGTTACTTCGATAACAAATTCACAATAATAAAAACACGCAAATTAATTCTACATGTGACTATTTATATAGGTATAGATATAGTTGTGAAATGTGAACTGAATTGTGATTTCATTCCATGACAGGGCCTAGCTGTCAGACTCGATGTTGCCACTTAACTGACATAAAATAGATGAAAAGATATCGATTTTTATTCGATTAATAATATCGTTAAAAAACAATCTTTGAGGTGCTTTAAGTTCTGCTACTTTTTAAAATATATTTTCCTTTATTTATTTAAATGCTATTTGAAATGTATTTTTAAGAACAGTTAAATTGTGCAGTAGCGTTTTGTTAAGCTTTAACCTTTTGAGCGCTACGGCAAAAACTCATTACCGTGTCCTGTACACCAAAGCGCCAAAACAAAATAGTGTTGCCAATAGTTGATATATCGATAACGTGAAATAACTTGTTTTTGTTGGTTTTTTATGCTATAAATGACTCTTAATAAACTGTATGTTTTATTTAATCTTGTGCCGTCTTCCACTCTTTTTATATATGTACTTTGTACATATAAACATAAATAAAAAACAATAACAATAAAATAGTAGTAAACCACAGCACTACTCTCCATCCTAATGACGAAACTGTCACGACTGGACGACAACGGCATAGCTGACCTTCCTTTTTTAAACATTCTTAGAATGTTGTGTATCGATTTCAAAATCGATCTAACCGAAATATACAGACATCGATTCATAATATTTTATGTGTCGGGGAAGGCGTAGGCCAAGTGACGCACAGAAGAAAAGTCTTACACTCTTATGACAATGGGGATTTGATATGATGCTGATGCTACTAGATGATTTTGAGACTGAGAAAGAAAATGGCACAACACAAAATGAAAAATTGCTCTTCACACCCTAAGTAAAAAAAAAAACATTAATTGTAATTTTGTATTATTATTAAAAAAAGGTACATAATTATTCATTAATCAACAATTGTATATAATTATTCACACTAGGTAAATCAGCCTTATAATACTAAAATCTTGGTCATGGAATAAATAAACATATTTGTACACCAATCAATCAAAAATTCAATTCATCAATCAAAAATCAAAATTCATCATCATCGACGCTTTCCAAAAATCCGAATGAGTTCTGAGGAATCGTTCATGTTGCATTGCTCTACTTTTCTCGGTAATCACTTATGACGTCATCAGGGTGTCGTCTATCCTTGATCACGGTGCCCAGTGAACTGATTTTCGATGACGCGCTAAAGATGCGCTAGAGTTGAGATATTAGATTTATTATGCGAAGATAATCTGATAACATTTTTTTATTCATGTAGTTAATTATAGTTTTATGTTTCTAACCTTTAATTTTATTCAAATATCAATAATAATAGAAAAAAAACACCATTGAGCTGAATTTTGGATAGTTTTCAAGAAATCTATGCCTCCCGCGTTTGACACTAGCGGTCAACCATAGACGACTTTGGCGTGCTGGACATAGTATTTGCTTAGATAAAAATCCATTTTTATTAGTTCAATGTTTCTTAGTACTTGTGGCTCTAGAAGACTTGTTTTTTATACTCACATGTTGCTGGGTTATTCCTATTTTGAGGAGTGTAGAATTAAAATACCTGTAATAATTTTCCAATATCTATATTTCATATTTTTCGGAGCCGGGTTTTTTGTCAACTATAGACGTCGTTGGCGCTCAGGGCCCGCAGGTGTTGGTCAAGTATAGGCGACTGTGGCGCTCAAAAGGTTAAAGGATTCATGGTAAATCAGCTGGAAACTAACTTGTTTCGTTATCATAACATGATTCTATTTTAAATGTATTGTTATAAACAGATAAGAATAACTTAACCGATCTTCTTTAAAAACAGATAAGAATAACAGTTCTTGTCTGTTTTCAAAGAAGATCGGTTAAGATTAACAGTTAAATTGTGCCGTAGCATTTGTTACTCTCTAAAGAATTCATTAGAAATCAGCTAGTAATTCGCTTGTTTAATTATCGTAACATCATAATTATTTAAAAATTATATTAGCACTGTAATGATGACACCGTAAATAATCGATCGAAAAAGAGAATCGATTTTTTAAATGTGTTTTGTGATTGGCAACACTTTTTTTTATTCACAAACTAATGACATAATGATTTACCTAATTTTTATTATTATGTTTCCGGTACTTTTAATTTGTGCAAAAATATTCCCATTGTTTGAGGATAAATGAATACCGCGATTAATAACCATAAATAAAGATATAATTTTTTAACAAATTCACATTGTTGGGCGTTCCATGGCCGAAAATGGGCGTCCCCCTTTATACATTATTATTGTTAGCACATTTTAAAATAGTCCATATTCAGAAATATTAAGAAAGGTTGTTAAGAAGTACTATTTAATTATATTTTGTACTTACTTAACGTCGTTCACAAGCGAGTGCAAAAGTGAACAAGCATCTGTTTTACCAAATGATAACAATGTATGTGCCTTGAAGGCAAAAGTCAATAGGTTTATAGAAAGCCTAAGCTACATCATCTGCTACATTCTATTACCATCAGTGGTCAAGCACTAGCACTAATAATAAATAAAAACGAGAATAATGTTTATTATAATATTTATAAACGACTTCGGTTTGTAAATAAGCAAATATGTAAATGTAACAGTATAGGTATAGGTGTTTTATATACAAATTATATACAAATTACATTCATGTTTCCCCCTCATTGTTACCGATACGTCGACTCACAGCCCGGCTTTATTCAGAACAATTGTCCCTTATTACTGAGGATATATCTTTCCGGATCCGCGTACGGAACGGATAATTTCATCGGGCCAGATGTTATTAAAGGAAATGAAATGAATGATCGAATACAAGTATAGGATAATACGGATCCACGTGAAGTCGTATCATACCGGAAATATTGTGCATTGGCGTGGGAGCAATTCTTGGAAATATAGACTAAGATATAAAGTTCGTTAGAATCAAATATGTACGCAATAAGCAACACACACTGCGATATCATAGATATATTTTATTACAATTTTTTTAATAGAATAAGGGTGACAAACGAGCACAGTCCACCCGATGGTAAACGGATGCTGTGGCCCATAGACATTTACATTTATACTCGATTAAGAATCAAAATGCCGATGCGATTTTACCCCTGAGGACTGAGATGCAATGCCACGATTGCAGTAAAATGGGTCTCCGGTTCTCTACACTCACCGTACGACACACAGCAGCATAGAGCTGCTATTATTTTACGCTGGTATTCTGTGAGCAAAATATCAGTAACATAAATTTCTCGTAAAATGCTTATATATATTAATGAAACTTTATATTTTTTTAATCTTAATAAATATTGCTAGCTATAATAATATCCATAGAAAGAATAGCTTTGAAATTTTAAATATTTTTTAAAATACAAAACGGCTTGTGCTCACGAATATCCGAAGTGCTAGAAGTGATAATCTCAATGTGAAACCTGCCTTCACGACTTCTTAGTCTTACACCTCAGCCTGCCTGCTAGATTATGTACTTAAATTTTATACTATTATAAAATAAAATTGGTTTGATCTAACGTATTACTAATCAATGTTATATAAAGACTATATACATTTGCAAATGATCAGTAGCTTGAAAACTTATTTAATAGTGTCAAGTGTATATATTCTTTGATAGTGTTGTATTCATGCGTAGGTACTTATTTTTATTTATGTCATAACTAGACTCTTTTATAATTTAATTTATTCTTTATTGAATTCCTCAAAAATACATGGTGTGAACATAATGCTTTGAGGCATTCTCTACTAGTCAATCATTGGAGCGGTGAGAATTGGACGTAGAGAATAAAACAAAATAAAAATGATTATTAATTGCGTAATACATTGTGATATAAAAAATGTGGCAATTAACTTGATAATTGAGATGGAACTTGTTTTCGAACTTGATAAAAAGGATTGGAGGGTAGAAACTGGGGACGAACGGCGGAGGGCCGAGTTCGCGACGAGTGGTGACAGAATAAATAATAGTACTACGTAGCGGTAATTCTTGTCAGACATTTAAAGTTGAAAAGCGTATAAGTATGTTTAAATATATTAAAATTGTGTATCAGTGAACCTTAAATATTTTAAATAGAAGCTTATATTCGTGAAACTTTAATTTTAAAAGTGCAACGGGGTAAGTGTTTAATAGTATACGTTGTTTGGTAGTCTAAGTAATTATGGAACAGTATTCTTAGATTATGCAATTATTTCAGTCTATGGAAACGACCATCAAGTTAATTGCGACAATTACGCCTTCCTAAATCTCTGATATAAAGTGTTATCAGAAAAATTTATTTGTCTTAAAAGATGAAGACTGTGAAAGACAATATTATATCCTTAATTGAAACAAATTTCTGTCGATAAGTGTAGCCTATTACTTAGAGCGGCAATACATGCATCGGGCGACGTCCTCAGGTTGATGGTTCGAGCCCCGAGGAGGACTATTTAGTTTTTTTTTATTGTTTTGCCCTTTTTCTTTTTTATATTTAGTTTCTTTATTGTTTTTTCCTTTTCTTTTTTTATATTTAGTTTTTTTATTGTTTTCCCCTTATCCTTTTATAATTCGTATAATTTTATAATGAATTTTATACTCTCATGTACATAATAAAAGAACTAATAGTAGATTTTATGTTTCGTTGCTTGTAAAGGTAATAAGTTATGTATGATATCATTTATAATTAATAACTTTTCTCTTTTTAGGATTTGAAGACACACACGTCATGATATTTATTGGTTTTGGTTTCTTAATGACGTTTTTGAAGAAATATTGCTACAGTGCCCTTGGATTTAATTGGTTTCTTGCTGCTTTAGTGGTGCAATGGGCCTTACTTTGCCAGTCGTTTTACCATATGGAACGCAACATCATCTATATTACAAAGAAGAATTTACTTGGTAAGTAACACTTTAATCGAAAACGTTTATCGTTATTATTTACTTTATTTGAAGAAGCTTATATGATGTTTTATGATATATCTTAATGACAGTAAAAAGAGCTATATAAAGATAGTCAGGCCATAAGTTAATAATAATTTTATAGTTTTACGTCCTGACTTATTATCTTAATACGGTTTTCACCATAATATAAAGAATTCCCTGAGAAATATTTTATGTATATTTTATGTAAAGATAGTAGCAAAATGTTGACGGTCTTGTGATCAAGTCGTAAAAAAATATCATCACCCTAGAGAATTGCACGGGAGAGAGTGTACCGTATAACTGTAATGTATATTCATCATAGTCATCTTGTTGACGGGTCTTGAAAAAGGGTGAGAAACTTTCATACAGTACATCTGATGGTAAGCGCATGCTGTCGTCTATAGGTTGCCACATCAATCCTCCATTAGGAATTAAAATTCAGACGCATTCACCCATAAGGACTAAGATGGAATGTCTCGTTTCCAGTGATAAACATCTCGGTTCTCTACACTTAACACTCGAAACGCAGCAGCAATTTTACGCAGGTATTCCGTGAGAGCGTGATTTTTCCCCCGATCGAGCGAACCCATTGCTACTTCAACAATATAGCTGCAGCTTGCCTCTACCACTTAAAAGTTTTCTGCTGTGTATTAGTTATTTTCTGCAACAGATTATGTGTGTTTCTCTTGATCTCATTAGTGAACTATTCTGTGTCGAAATAAATCTGCTCTAATTTTATATCTAATAATGATCTTATGTATGTAAACGTTTATTACATACAAGGGCTAATCTACATAATAGACGAACATCTCTCGGATTTTATATTGGATTTGTCTGTATACACACGTTTAAGAGGTTAATTTAAAGTCACAGTAGCAGACGTCTCGCACCCCGGTCGGTGTTCTCCGTTGCCGGTATAAGTTAATTTAGCTCACACAATTTTATTGACATATCTTTAAGTGGAATTTACAACATCCAAGCTATGAAATTGGATTATGGGTTTTCAAAAAAGTAATATGATATAGTTCTCCCTCAAATAGAAAGTATTAGAAAGTTTATTTATACGTGGTTGTGCGCGTGCAGTGAGATGTGCGGCTTAAACTAAACAAACTATTGTGTACTAGCAAATTATCATTTTTGTATAAAGTAATAAGTTACGCAATTTTTTAATGATTCTACAATAAAAGAATGTTAAGCGACGGTTGACGTAATGGTTATTACTGTGGCCCTTTAAGTAACAAGACACCATCTTCAAACAAATCAAATCACTTTTACTCTAACGTATGGTCTAAGATGCAGTGCCTGCCAATAAAATACCCCTACTATGGAATGGCCATTGACGACCTTCGCTTGTCTGCTCAGCAGAGTTAGCAACTTGACATTTCAATTATTTACAATCGTTAATTTATTAATGAAATCAACGTTAAATCACGTCACTGCGAGCTGATATATCGTTGTTAATTTCACTGTCCATTTTTGAATCCCGAGTTGGACCATTTAGTTGGTAGTTTTTTCAAGAAATTTTCGATTTCCCGGGGTCAGGTAGTTGGCAGCCTTTCACACCAACGTTTTGAAAAGCAATAAAGCAGTCTCAAGCCAGATCTCCCTCGGGCCGTGTAGTATTGTTGTCACATCGGACTATGGCAGTCAAAGTATATAGAGTAAACCTGTGCTTGCACTATAATCCCGATGTATGCACATAGCTAGTCTCCGGCCATTCTCACGGCCGCCATAACCGAAATTTGGTCTGGAGGATATTGTTATTATTAGGATATTTTTTATTGTGTTGTCGTCTATTTGGCATATACAAATGTGATAGAATAAAATATAAACCTTATAGAATAAATAAAATATATTAAATTATTGCTTAAAATCAACTAGATCGAACAGGCAGGGAAGTTCAAACAAACGAGGTTTAAAAGAACAGGGAATAAAATCGTCTAACGATCGGAGCGATAACGAGGAACACCACTCTTTCTGAATTTGAACTCGAAGCAGTCCGCCGCGGAGTCTGATTCACCTCAGATTACTAAAGAGGCTTTCCACCTCGCATAAGTAGAGGTGCATTGGGTGAGGCAGAACGAAAATATGGGCCTGACATGGAACTGATATTAATGAAGGCATTCATATATTGTTGTATATTTTTCGTAAGAGTTCGACATATATGGTGTGAGTATCTTGAAAAGCTATGAAAATTGAGTTGTGTCTGATACTGTGAAATGCTAATGTCAACCAAAAAATATTCTGTGCTACGCCTGGTCTATCCCCACAACAGGAACTTAAGCATATTCTGTAATAATAGACCAGTCCTAGTAGAGCATAGTGTTGTCATCCTCCAGCATTACTTTTAGTAAGTACTAATAATAAGCAGTTTTCGCTCCCGAGACAGTACTGATACAGACAGACAGAGATAGCTCCTGTTATTGAATTTTCGCAACTATTTTGTAGAGTAGAAACTTGGCTACTTGAAATTGTTTTATATTTATTTTGTCTTTCTCGTTCGTTTTCGCTCTTTTCTATTAACGTTAACGATTATAGAAAGTCAACTTGGTTAACCCGCAGTACCACTAGCAAAGCTCTTGAGCGTTGACGTGCGACTTCAAGACAAATTTAATGCGCGCGGGTTGTAATTTTTTTTACTAATAGTAACAAAAGTATACAGTCCATCTGATAGTAAGTAGATGCTGTGGTCTATAATCATCTGAATCTATCCACGATTAAGAATCACAGTGCAGATTCATTGTTCATACCTGAGGACTAAGACGGACTGAGTGGTTTCCAGGGAAAATGGTTTCCGGTATTCTACACTCACCATACAAAACAAAGCAGCATTAAGCTGCTATTTTATGGTCGAGCATATGTATAAAACATTCGTACTACAACTATAATGTAGCTGTAGCATAGCTCTATTACCTTGTACTGATTATCTAATTACTAACCCAGACGGAACAGAAACCTCGGCATCTAGTAAATTTATTATATCTATATTTCGAATAAATTTTGGTGTTTATGCTTCTTTTACAGAAGCTGATATTATGTCAGCAACTGTACTAATAACATTCGGAGCACTTCTGGGAGTCGCCAGTGGGACCCAACTATTGTTTATAGCTATTGTCGAAACTGCAATTGCCTGTCTAAACATGTGGCTCGTATCGAATGTGTTTAAAGTAAGTTTTAGAAATAAGAAAGAAGGAAAATAATGGTTTGTTTGTAGTTTCAGTAATGTTATAAAAGAGAAAGTTTGTATGTTCGACGCCCAATTACACTAAGGCTCAATGAATGTAAGTAAAATTTGGCACAGATACGAAAAACGATCACAGTTATGAAATTGAACGTAGACTTATTATGTGCATAATTATTAATTAAGGGCGTGGTAATTATGAAAGTGGTAACTTAATAGCTAAGCTCTTTCCGTAAATACTACAGTATGCGAGCAACCAGGGTTCCCCACCGGCATCGAATAAATCGTTTATTGCACTTTTAAGTGCTGATTTACGATGTAATTGGAGGTGCAAGAAAATATCGTGAGAAATCCCCCACGTCTGAGGAATGAAATATTTCTAGGATATGTGAAGTTCAACAACACGCACTGGAGCAGCCAATAAGACTAACTGCTTCACAACCCTTTAAGAAACAAGGGAAAATCTGTGCTCAGGATATAATAACCCCTTACCCATTTAAATGGCAAAAATAAATATACAAAACAAGATAACAATAAGAGACTCGACAACCACATATAATTTTTTGATGCCAAAAAAGAGCAGCAGAAGTAAATGAAACAGAGGATGGGATCTATTCATCAATATTTTTAGTTGATATCAATCAACTAAAAATGATTATAACCAAGTTCGCCATGGTAACCATCATAAATATCCCAAATATGAGACAACATATGGAGAAGACACATGCTGTTTATATAATATGTAGCATTGGATGACAAACAAGCACATTCTTCCTAATGATAATTGGATACTGTGGCCCGTAGACATCCACATTTAGTCTCAATTAAGAATCAAAATGCAAATGCGTTGTCACCTCTGATGACGTGGATTGAATGCCTCGCTTCTAGTAAAAAGGGTCTTTGGTTTCTACACTCACCATTCGAAACACACCAGCATTACGCTGCTATTTTACGATGGTATTCTGTGAGAGCCGGTCGAGCCAACCCATTCGTGCTACAACTATAATATAGCTGCATTGTGGCTCTACCACGTTAAGAGGATACCTTAAAATGAATCGTAGTTTAGGGTGCGTGGCTTATTCCTTTGTCGTTGAAGCTCACGACAACTGAGGGAGTGTCAAAATGAAAGTAATGCAATGAATTCATAATACGCAAATTATGAGATGAACTATGACTGAGACTACACCGAGCGCGTGCTCGGAAGTAAACTAAGTAAGCGCCAAACAACATTGTATTTGTTTTTAACTAAACCTCATTACGGATAAAAAAAAATGGTTTATGAGAACACACACTTTTATTGGAGGTTTAATAGGTGGTTTAATGAATAAATAATTTATTTTACGTATGTAATTTATGCATGTAACGAACAGTCTATTATATATTATATATATAGATACACACACACATAATATATATATATATATATATATATATATATATAAGACTCATCACAAAATCTCTAAAACTATACGTTAGATTGACTTGAAATATAGACGAGTGGATATCAGCTAGTTAACAATATTTACATCGTAGTATCATTAAAATGCTATCAAAAATGCCTTTAGTTTCTCTCTATTGCATCTTACGACACTCACGGAATATTATGTAGAAGTGGAATTTCTTAAGCCGAGTGGCGGCACGGCAGATGAAAATTGAAACAGAACATCGGCAGTAACATGTTCATGACAACATTTCAAAATAAAAAAATATGTTAAAAAATACATTGTAACCTTATACAATGTATTTTTGTAGTATAATATTTATAATTTATTTGTTACTACTTCCGATATTTTAAATCACTGCTTTAAGTTAACTGAGAATACTGCTTGCAAAAGGCTTTCTCTGTCTTTAAAACTAAAGAAAGTACGCCTTTTGTTCCTATGCATTAAATGTAAGTTTCAACAAAGAATAAACGCCAAACTGCATGACAAAATAAAAATACACCCGATATAACATACACATACCATTTAGTAATGAATTATTAATTTTAATTGTTACAATAAGTAAAATATGTTTTAAAAGGAAATATAATTCTTAATTATTTATTGCTAAATTCCAGGCTGCTGACGTTGGTGGCTCAATAGCAATACATACGTTTGGTGCTTACTTCGGACTTGGAGTAAGCTGGGCAATGCGACCGAGAAAAGCAACTCCTACAGATTCAACTCCATCTGTAGATCTTAATGGCCCCAGCTATCCATCTGATGTAACTGCAATGATAGGTACGACTTAATATTAATATGCACGATTTTTTTTAGATACTTTGTTAAAAACTGCAGATGTAAAGTCGCAAGATCACGCAAAAATAATAATAAAAAAGTTATAAAAACTTAAAAAACGCCCATTGATTATACGCTGCGATAATCTTCGAGTGAATATTAAGTCGTGAGTTTGAAACTATTGTATTGTCATCAGTTCTAATTACGACTGCAAAATTTGAGATCATGCAGACGTGTAAAAGTGGGTAAAAATTGAATTAAGAAGTGTTATAATTATCCTAATTACTCCCTTTTCACAATCGAACAATCAGACGCTTGGCCAGTCTCTATCCCTTCGTTGTCAACTTACAACGCATTCCAAGCAAATACTATGCTTCATCGTTGGTCAAGCGTACAACAAAGGAGTGAAATAAGTTGTCAAAATCTGTCTTTCCATTCGATTTCAAGTATCTTCAAGGCAAAAGGAAGAATGGGTTGTTTTAAGCTAAGTCAGTGTGATTTTCTATCTTTGGCTGCATCAATACTTAACATTAGGTGGTACAGTAGTCAAACGCTGGATTAGAGTGGTTAAAAATGCATTCAAACATATATTTAAAGCTCATACAGGCACGTTAACTATTAATTTATTATTTTCTTTCGTAATTTTTCATATTAGTGAAGGTATAAAACTTCATTATGTGCCTTCTCATTATAAACTAGTGTACATACTAAAAATATTTCGAAATCATGTGAAGTCCACCATCACGCACTGTATCAGTGTAGTAATTGCTCTATAACCCACTAAAAATGTGAGGAGGCCTGTACCCAGCAGTGGGAACAATAAGTTAGAACTTCAACTTTATTTTGAATATTCCTTGTTCCCATTAATTAAAACATGAGGTCTAAAGAATACAATATCATTTATCATAACAGAAAGCTTTAAAAAATACGGTCTGCATAGACCAGCTTATGTGTATTACTCGTGAATTTTCGATTTTATTGAATTAACACGTTGCACTATAGGAAAATATACCGATACAAAGACGTCGTATAACTGTTTAACAAAAGTCATTGTTAGGCGATGAAAATTATAAATTAATATACTATTATAAATACAGTTTCTTCTTAGGTATTTTTATTTTGTTTTGTATGTTTAACATAAATATAAAAGAGCATCAAATCTTAGCCATGTTCAATTAGATGATTTTCACGAAATACGTTACTACGATTCAATACCACATCACTTAAAAGTTTTTCACATAAGTATATAAGTATTATACACTTTTGGAATGCTTATATGCTTCTCGAAATTATTCGTAAATAATATTATATAATATAAGTTAATTCATCAAAAAAATAACCAATATTATATTAGTTAAGGATACTCTTACCGATGCTTTACGATGTCGAGATTTTCAGTGCATTAAGATGTTCACACAAGGTTTAAAAAAAATTGCTATTACTTGTTCCTTTTTTGATACAGATTCAAACCACGTTGCGAGATAAAAAATATTTTTTTCAACATTTTTTTTACAAAATAGCATTCCATTCCATTATAAATAAATTTATTGAAATGAGATATGTTAAACAGTTCTCAAGACCTGGTGACTTTTTGACCACGCAACTTGATAGAATTGTTTTTATTTATTAGATTCAATTAAAAAAACGGGTTAGAAAATTATGAGTTTCGTATCTTTTTGTATTATTTATTGGTCCTATAAATAGACGACAAACCCTGAAACATTAACAGTTATCGGTCATACATTCAGTTGCCCCAGTACTAGTAATAAGTTCGTTTTTAAAAAGTTTACAGAAGTTTATACGAATTTGAAAAATGGATAAATTTGTTTGTAGCGAACGAGAGTTGTGCAGTATGGTTAAATGGGAAAAGTATACAAGGTCTTAATTTAATTAGGATTTAATTATTTATGATTTGACATAATTAAATGAAGATATAGCTGAATTACATATCATAATGCCGGGGTAAGCGCACGTAATGAAATTTATTAATTGCAATTTCAAGTACCACGTACTTGGGGGTGAAGGAAAACATTGTAAATAAATGATGATGATGAGATGAATATGAAAAAAATATTTCGTTGACATGTGAAATTCGCCAAAAAACACAAGACGCTGTTGCTCCCGGTTTGTTTTCCTCTAGTCTCTCTTAATATACTATTATCACGCACTAGTGCACTCTTTATTTTCTCACACTCATAATCTTTATTCTCTCATACCATAGATTGAACACGTAAAACCAACTTCTGGCTACAGATAAACATAACATTTATTTATATATATATATATATATATATATATATATATATATATATATATATATATATATATATATATATATGGCTTTTTTAGGATCCTAAAATGTCTTTCATCATACTATGATAATTTAGCAATTAGTAATTTTCGTTATTTACGTAAGAAATAGTGAAATATATAACATCATTAGTTAAATTACACAGGCCAATGACCGATGAGTTACGACCTATGACATTAATACGTATATTTAATATACAGGGTCAATATTCCTGTGGATTTACTGGCCGTCATTTAATTCGGGCTTAACGAATTCGAATGCCGAATATCAAAGGGCAGTTATAAATACGTATTTATCATTAGCTGCAGCGACCGTAAGTATATCTAATTATACTTTTACAATAAATATTATAAAGCGATTGAATATACGTCCGCTTTATACCTATATTAGCGCTCGCTGTAAATTTCACAGTACAAGAGGTAACCGGTTTCGATCCCAGCCGGCACCAATGAAATCGTTAATTGCAATTTTAAGTGCTGATTTACCACATGTTCGGTGGTGAAGGAAAACATCGTGAGGAAATCTGCACGTCAGAGAAATAAGAAAAAAAATATATCGAAGACATATGAAGTCCGCCAACACGCATTGGGGCAACGTAGCGGACAATTCCTTTCCCTAAAACCCTCTCAGAAATGAACTGAGGTCTGTGCTCAGCAGTGGGACGTATATAAGCTGTAACTTTACTTTTTTTTACCTATATTTCTTTGATTATGAATCAATGAAATAGATGCCACTCCTGGGTTGCGGTACTTGTAGCTATGGTTTTCAGCAATTACCAATAAGGTTGAACTCGCCCGCAGGGATTGTGTGATGTATGCTATATTTCTGTGTCTGAGAAAGATATTATCAAAATAATTAAATAACAGAATGCAAAATTATTACTTAACGGAAATAACAACTTTACTTCGAATACAAATAAAATATAAATATTTTTAATGTTTATAACTTACCATTAAAAATAATTTAATTTTTTAAATTACATTTGGTATTTTCTAGGGACTCCTTATCCGTCCGGGAGTCCGTGTGGGTGCAGCGAGCACTACTGTGTACGATATGAAGGTTACATAGAGCCAGTAAAGTTGCAAACTGGAAGCATTACATCATATTGCTCAGAAGTGATAACGCATTTAATAGAATGCCTTACAGTGAAATAGGTTTTCGGTTTCTGCCACTCACCATAGGAAACGACAATTTATGTTGCTATTTTACACTAGCGACAGTGGACTGAGAGAAACTGAAACAGGCATTTTCCTGATAACAACTCAAAATTGCGGTTTCTAATCCGCCTTTCAAGCGTGGCAACTACGGAAAAAAGAGTTATGATAATAATCCTTTTCAGATTAAGAGCAGAACTTTAGTTTTTATTTTAGCCGTGGTAGCTCAGATGGTTAGCGCTCGCTGTTAATTTCACAGTACGCGGGCAAACCGGGTTCTATCCCCGCCGGCACCAATGAAATTGTTAATTGCAATTTTAAGTGCTGATTGACCACGTGTTCGGCGGTGAAGGAAAACATTGTGAGGAAACCTGCATGTCAGAGAAATAAATATTTCGAAGACATGTGAAGTTCACCAACACGCATTGGGGCAGCACGGCTAACAATTCCTTGCCTTAAATCCCTCTCAGAAATGAGCGGAGGCCAGTGCTGTAACTTTACATAGGTTGTAACTTTAGACGATTCAGACCATAATTGTCACTTATTTTACAGGTTACAACATTTGTTTTGTCATCTACCGTTAGCAAGCACGCTGGGAAACTGGATATGGTACACATCCAAAACTCCACTCTAGCTGGTGGTGTAGCTGTTGGATCTGTGTGTAATATGCATATAAATGCTGGCGGTGCAATAGCTATTGGTATTGGTGCTGGAATTCTTAGTGTACTAGGCTATAGATTTTTGACGGTGAGTCAAATATTCAAGGGGTTTGAAAATCATTTTCTAAACTGTATTTGAATTAACATTATACCGCTAGTAATAATTTTAATTTATAGTAAAAATTATTTATCGTAATAATATTACGTAACATTGAAAAAACTGGCTTCTATTATGCTCGGGGGGTTGTTTGCAAGACCTAAACGTTTTTTTTTTAAATTAAATTTGCGCGTCGTCTGCGCGTAATATTCTTTGGAATAGCTGAACCGATTGTGATGTAAATTTACGAATAGATCAAGACCATTGCTGGAGGGGATTAAAACCAAAAAACTTCGAGATATTTTTTAAAACGACATATTTATGTAATAAATGACGTTTGATTATAATCAATCGAAATAACGGCCACTTTAATAAAAGAAACTGGTAACGAAACAAAACAATATTCTGATTTTGGAAAATTCATTACTAATTAAATTAAACGCTATTAACTATGTTTTTTTTTCAGCCAAAAATAACAAATATAGGCATCATAGATACATGTGGTGTAAACAATCTTCACGGTATGCCAGGAATTTTGTCAGGACTTCTCTCTATCTTGTTTGCTGCTCTAGCTACAACTCGTGGATATGGAAAGGAGTTGGAGGGGATATTTGAAGAAATGAAACAGGTGTGGTTTGGTAAATGGTAAATTTATTAAAGAAAGATGCATTTTCGTTTTAGCATTAGTACAGGTGGAGATTGAACTCAGGTAAAATCCCCACCAGCACTAATGAAATTGTGGGTTAAATTTCTAAGTACTGATTTTCCATGTCCTTGGAGGTGAAGGAAACATCGTGAGGATTGATTGATGAGATGTGTTTCTGAGAAATAAAAATATTTGGAAGATATTTGAAGTCTGCCAATGCGCACTTAAGCAACAGGGTGATCTAATTTCTTTATTATTCTCTCAGGTATAAAATGAGGCTGAATCCTGCTGTGGGATATACTAAATTTAAGTTTTAAGCCAGTAGTAAGTTGTATCGTTAAAGTATAAGCTTATTCAGACATTATTTGCACTATGGTTTCATGGACCTACCGCGCTGACTGACCCTTATGTAAATATTACGAGTAGAAGGCATAGTTATTACATATTTTCTCTACTCTAGATCTACTGACACATCGTGAATATTTCAAATACAAAACTAGGTATACATAATTTTTCTTGTCTCAGTGTCATATCTGATCTTTTCTTTTCCTTTTTTTAAAAAATACGTAAAAAAGCAAAAAAAAAAAACTAATTTTATATACTATTACTAATATTCCCTTATACCACTCCGGTAGTACCCAAAAAATATCACATTTTTACCTTTTTTGGTGAAAATATTGACCAATAGCATACGAAATAAGTGGCGCTGTGATCTTCATTTCGCCTGCCAGGGGGTGATGACGAAAGCCTCTACAACAGGAGATGCCCATGTCTAGCAGTTATCTTTAACGGAAGAAGTAGAAAAAGTAGGTCAACAAATGATCAAGAAGATTGTATGGCAGTCTATTGCTGAACTTGTGTAGGTATATCTATGTGCACTTCCAAAGGTAGGTCACTTAATCGGATCTATGATTTACTCAGTTGATGTCAGTCACCTGGCATAAATCACCAAGTCGGTGGCCGTGCCACATTACGTTTGCATATATTGTAATGGCAGTGTAATAATATCACCTACCTCATATTGTGCCATGGGTTTTGTTAGAGGCGATAGGATGAAGCAAATCAAAAGATGGACGGCAGCGTTTTCCTAATAACAACTTAAAATAAACCTGCAGTTACCAACCCGTCTGACAAGCATAGCAAGCTTCTGTGAATTATTTTTACTATAAGAAGGTTGGAAGACTATGCCATGTGCTTTAATTCTCTGATGGATTATATACAAATAAAAAAAGTTGAGGATAATATTTGCATTATTTTGCAGGATGGTACCGGCAGATCATCTGGAAATCAAGCTTTATATCAGTTTTTGGCATTAGCTGTCACTTTGGGGATTTCTATTGTTGGTGGTATTATTACTGGTAATGTTATTTTTTATTTTACAAGGGTTTAAATATTGAATAGAATTCATTCAATAATATAGCAAAAGAGTTACTTAACTAAAAAAGTAAAATTCGACTTAATTTCCTTGTTTTTATTTATTTTAGGCATACTCGCTAAAATGCCAGTATTTGCTCCACTTAAGGACATTGAAAAATACGACGACGAAGTAAACTGGGAATTGCCTTAAACGGGTGACCTTACAATAAGATAAATGTGTGTATTCAACAATGTTTGTAGTAATAAGCTGAGTATTGTGTTATTTACGCATAATATTTTCTTTTTTATTAAATGACATTAGTATATTTATTTATTTATTAATTGAGAAGTATGATTCATACATAATATAAAATCAAATTTAAATAATTTATTTAAAATATTTCAATAAAATACTCATTTTTTAATAGTTGTTTCAATGATTCTAAAACGTATTGTAAGTAAATATTTATATAAAAATTTTCGCTCGGTTTCCTATTAGTTTTACCCAGGACTAAAAGATTTTTTCCCAAGCAGTGGTGAAAGCACAAATGACTTTCAGTAATTATTCTAGTAATCTATATTGATTAAAAGTTATTCCATCTTTTTATTCGTTTCCAGGAGTTTTCATATTATGTAATTCTTTTTAAGGCGATTATGTAATGTAACTGTTTGTTTTTGTTTCTTTTGATAATTGATAGAATCAGGCGTTACTTTGCGGAAATCCATTATAATAAAAAAATAATAAAAATATAAATTTCTTTGCAACTTTCCGCTAAACATATAAAATGATGTGTCTTACCTGGATTGAAGCGCACCTCCCGCCCTCCCTCAATTGCATACACTAACTCCGTCAACACTAGACCAAGCACCACTACTCTCAACACCACTATTCCAGGTAAGACACACCATCGATGGTGTGTCTTATCTGGAATAGTGGTGTTGGCGCTTCAATCCAGGTAAGACACATCATTTTATATGTTTAGCGGAAAGTTGCAAAGAAATTTATATTTTTATTATTTTTTATTTGTTTCTTTTTTTTTGTTTGTTTTTGTTGTTTTTTTTTTGTTGTTTGCAACGCGATATCTTCGTCAATTCCATATGTGGTAAAGCCATGCTGCAGTTATATTAGTAGTATAGTTTAACAAGAATGGGTCAGCTCGATCGGGGAAGGACCACGATATCACAGAATACCAGCGTAAAATAGTAGCTTAATGCTGCTGTATTTCGTATGGTGAGTGTAGAAAACCAGAGACCCTTTTTACTGGAAACGAAGCATTCCATTTTAGTCCTCGCGGGTGACAACATATCTGCATTTTGATTTGTAATCGAGGATAGATGTAGATGTCTATGGGCCACAGCAACCACTTACTATCGGGTGGACTGTGTGCTAGTTTGTCGCCCTATCCTATAAAAATGAACCAATTTTAAAGTTTTGTTTCATTAAATAGGTTTTACTTGAGAAGCGTTCCCATATAAATTTGGAGAAAAATTTCCAATAATCCTGGAGTGCAAAATAGGGGATGAAGTTTTTTGATGTAACCATTTAGAGACATGCTAGTTGTTTTGTTAATCTTGTGATGTATCTTAGTCTACTAAAAATGGTCAAAAAAATAATTTTCACGTACAATAACTCTGATGTTGCTTAAACATTATGAAGCGCGTTAAGTATATTTTTAAGTGACTGCCATACAGTACTTAACTACGTTTCAATAAGAACATGTGTTTATCACCACCAAACCTTGCTGCAAGCTCATTTATGTCTTCCCTTTAAGTCTAAGTGAAACAACGTGGTACAACGGCGTGTACAACGTAAAGGCGTGATTCCTTTTACAGTTCGAGTGACCGCTTACCAGGATACAAGAGTGTGTTTAAGTACATGTTCCATTTAACACAAATTGGAAAACTTACCACAGTATTTGTGGCGTCGTAGCGTGTATTCTGTTGAACGCGAATAGCTACCAATTAGGACACTAAAATAAAAAAGTGTCTGCTTGTTGTGCACGCCAAAGAAACCGCCATGTTTTACGCTTATAACTGGGGCCTTCCATTTAAATCTAAATGGATAACGTTCAGTGATGTCTATGACACATGGGTGCCTTTTCAATACAACTGGATTAAACGCCACTCTGAACCTTATATTGCAATAGTGGTGTCGTCATGTCATAGTAATACCATGCACGCTGAGCATACTGCTTTGTCGAAAGCTCTTTACTGAGATCTACCATTAAAACTAAAGATATGATTGGAGGATTATAACTTTTTGTACACAATGACCTTTAAATTCGACCATCGTCAAAAATTGTGGTCCCGCGAGTCACCAACTTTAACACTTACGTCGTTTTATAGTTTTGCAAATACTTTGTATGTTTTTTTATAGAATAAGGTGTCAAACGAGCAAACAGTCCACTTGATGGTAAGTAGATGCTGTGGTCCATAGATATCTACATTAATCCTCGATTCAGAATCAAAACATAGATGCGTTGTCACTCCTGAACACTCACTTATGAAATGCCTCGTTTCCAGTAAAACAGGGTTTACAGATCTCTAATCTCAACATAAGAAATACAGCAGTATTAAGTTGCTATCTTTTGAGTCCTTTCCCGGTCAATCCGACCCATTCATGCTGCGACCATAATATAACTTTTTTTTCTTTTCTTTTTTTTCGTTTTGTAGAAGGTGAGCCGCATGCTCTTTGCACCCTGCAAAGAGCATTAACCTGATGTTAAGTGACTACCGCCACCCATGATCAACCGCAACATCTGGGGAATTGCAGGTGCGTTACCGGCCCTTTAGAAAGGAGTAAGCTCTTTTCTTGAAGGTTCCCAGGTCGTATCGGTCCGGAAAATCGCCGGTGGTAAACTATTCCACAGAGAAGCTGTACGCGGAATAAAACTCCTTTTGAAACGTACAGTGGTGGACCGCCAAGCACCCAAATGGTGTGGACCATCCACACCATCTGGATGCTCGGGACGTTTGCCGCGTAGTGCGTTTACGAAATCTGGCAGCTGAGATTAGTCTGAACAATTCCTCAGAGCACTCTTCATGGTATATGCGAAAGAAAATGCAAAGTGATGCAACATCTCTTCGCAGCGCCAGTGAATCGAGCCGATCGGAAAGCACTCGGTTGTCGACAATTCGAGCCGCTCTGCGTGGGATGCGGTCAAGTGGAAGTAGCTGGTACTGAGGGAGCCCTAGCCTAGAGATGGGAACAGTATTCCATGTGCGGCCAAACTTGTGCCTTGTAAAGTTACAGTTTTAATTTACCACCGGTGATTTTTCCGGACCGATACGACCTGGGGACCTTCAAGAAAAGAGCTTACTCCTTTCTAAAGGGCCGGCAACGCACCTGCAATTCCCCTGGTGTTGCGGTTGATCATGGGCGGCGGTAGTCACTTAACATCAGGTGAGCCACATGCTCGTTTGCCCCCTCTTCTATAAAAAAAAAAAAAAAGGTGGTGTGCCTGCATGAAATACTGTCCCGCTCCGCTAAGCACGCCAAGCTTTTTTGGAGGCCAATTTGGCCTTCTCTTCCAAGTGACCACGAAACTGCACGTCACTCGATATGTCGACGCCGAGGATTCCGATACTGGTTGAGGCAACAAAGGGGATTGCCTTGTAACTGAGAAGATACGACAAATGGGTTCTTTTTAGCGGTTAACGCGCAACAATCCGAGACTCTGATCAGCAAAGACTCGACTTCAGACACAAGTTTGTCACGGTACTCGGAGACGTTTTCCAGAGAAATATTGGCTGGGTCGGTGTAAAGAGCATCACTAGTGCTGTCAACTGCTTAGCAATGAATGTTACGGGTTTGCAACATATCATTGATATGCAGAAGAAACAGCGTTGGCGATAGCACGCAGCCTTGTGGAACACCAGCATTAATAGGCTTGCAATCGGAGCTTGCTCTGCAAGAAAGCTGGTGATCCCATCGCATAATTTTTCGGGAAGTCCCTAGGAAGGGAGCTTCGAAAGAAGCACTTTGTACCAAACCGATCGAAGGCCAATGCCTCCCCCTTGGACTCTACTGCCTCCGCCCATCTGTGAGTTAGGTAAACCAGAAGATCACCAGCTAACCGACCACGGCAAAAACCGTAGTAGCGATCGCTATTCAGCTGGTGATCCTCAAGATACTTCATGAGCTGGCAGTTAACAATAGACTACATTGTTTTGGAGATCAAGGAGGTGATGGCAATATGCCGGTAGTTGAACGGGTCTGAGCGGTCGCCTTTTTTAGGGATCGGGTGGACGAAAGCCGTCTTCCATGATTTTGGGACTACGCCTAACGAGTAGGAGTACCAGAAAAGACGCGTTAAAACCGGTGCCAACTTTGGAGCACACGTCCTCAGCACAATTGGGGGGATTCCTTCAGGCCCACTCGACTTGTGGATGTCCAGGGAGAGGAGTGCTTTGCGAACTGAGCGCTGTGTGAACTGCACTTCCGGCATGGAGCACTCATATCGCGGGATGGTTGGCGACGTATTTCCCCCCGTCATCGAGAGTCGAGTTGGATGCAAAGAAAGAGCCTAGCAGATCGGCTTTCTCCTTTAGCTGCAGCGTGGCTCTACCACGTATAAAACACAACGGTTGAACATAAATTTAAATAATAAAAACACTATATTCTGTATATCGGGTAAAAACAATACACTACAGTTTCATAAATTTTATTTTGTGGCCATTAACAATTTACTGATAAATTTATAAATGTTCACATAAAATAATTGCAACGTAAAAAAATCCCAAATTGCTCTAACACCGGTGTTTTAAATGTACTAAAATAAAACGTGTTTCGAAATCAGATATCGTATTCAAAATATTACACTACAATTTTTGCTCGGGTCTACCACCTGTTTTTTTTTTTCAACATGGGGAAATGCCTACGCATACCCGCCTCGCGGGGGCAAGGACGGGTTATGTCGGACTCGCACCGACTAAAACCCCATGGTGTTCCACCTTCGTCGCATATTGGCAGGGCTACGGGAACGCTTTCGCACACATCCGCGGCCCCACCAGCGACTGCTGCCCCATGGCAGCACCTCATCGGGAGAGGAATATTCCTCCCCGTTCTCCTTTCCAAGTAAGGCGCACCAGAACACATGGCACGCCTTCCTCCACGGCCTCCAATTACATCTGCGCAACAGACGCCCCCGCGTCCGATGCGCGAAGGCCATGGGGCCAGGAAAAACGAGCACTTAGAAGTACTAGCCTTCC